CACAGGTCATGTAGCTAACTCAATGGCTTCCAATGCAGGTTATGGAGCTAATGCTGTGGGCTATAACACAGGGCAAACATACACTGGAGGCTACAAGCAAAAGAATCAGCTGTATTGTGATTATTGCAAGTACAAGGGACACACTAGGGATGTCTGTTACAAATTGGTAGGCTATCCTGCAGATTTCAAACCAAGGAGGAAGAACTTTGGAAGGAATGCAACTGCAGCACATGTGCAGATGGACAAATGTACAACCCCTAATGAACAGATGGAAAGGTCAAAACCTGAACCTGTAGGACATTTCTTTACAGAGGAGCAATATCTTCAGTTACTGAAATGCTCAACCAGGCCAACACCAACACCAACACTTCAACTGATACAGCTGCCCATGCCAAGGTCACAGGTATACCATTGTCACTTCTGAGTATGATCAAAGAAAATAGGGTGATTATAGACTCGGGAGCTACAAATCACATGGTATCTAGCCTACATCTGTATATTGATTATATGGAGTTGTCTGAGAGTAATTCAAGAAAGGTGCAATTACCTACTGGAGAGACAAGTGTGATCACACACTTAGGGACTTCCAGCATATTAGATAACATAGTGATCAAGAATGTGCTCTTTGTACCTAAGTTCAGGTATAATTTGTTATCAGTATGTAAACTAACCAAGGATTTTAGGCTTATTTCTTGCCTTCTTTTCTGCCTGCTGTATATTCCAGGACATTTGCAATGGCAATGTGAAGGGGATTGGTAGAGTGGAGCATGGATTGTATGTGCTGGATCAGAATGTCAAAGTTAACACACATGGAGGATTACCTGTTGGTCTCATCTCTTCTATGTTGCCTATTAATAGAATAAGTGTTGCCTTATGGCATAAACGATTAGGACATGTGCCTATGGAGACTATGAAAAGAATGCATATGTTTGGAAACACCAAGCTTGTTGACTGTAATGATCCATGTTCTGTATGCCCTTTGGCTAAACAAACTCGTTTACCTTTCCCATATATCATTACAAAGAGTTATGCATTGGGTGATCTTATACATACAGATGTGTGGGGACCTTTTAGAGTGCCTACTTATTATGGTAAACAATATTTCTTAACTTTTGTAGATGATTTCAGTAGATTCACATGGGTGTGCCTCATGAATTCTAAGGATGAATCGATTGTGGTATTGAAATTCTTCATTGCTTTGATTAAAACAAAATTTTCTTCCACTGTCAAAATTCTTAGAACAGATAATGGAGGAGAATTTTTCAACAACCAGCTCAAGGAGTTACTTTGTGCAGAGGGTATTACTCATCAAAGTACATGTCCATATACGCCTCAACGGAATGGGGTAGTGGAAAGAAGACATAGATACATACTAGACACTGCCAGATCCTTAAGGTTCCAAGCTAATTTACCTTTAAGGTTTTGGGGAGAGTGTATTATGACTACAGTGTATCTGATCAATAGAATTCCCTCTAGAATATTAGGTGGAAAATGTCCATTTGAGCTAGTGTTCAACAAAGCCCCATCACTGGATCATCTTAGGGTATCTGGTTGCCTTTGCTATGCTGCAAACTTGAAGAAGAGGGACAAGTTTTCTGCCAGGGCTATTCCTGCAGTATTCTTGGATTATTCCTTAACTCAGAAAGGTTATAAACTATTTGATCTAACTAATCGAGTAGTTTTTGTCAGCAGGGATGTTATTTTTTAGGAAGATAGTTTCCCATTTGTGCAACAGCCAGGTGAATCCAGTTCAAATTCAACTATTCCATCCACAGATCAAGATCACAATACTTTTGTTACTGACCTTGATGCTCTATCACCAACAACCACTTTTCCAAATGATGACCCTTCAGTTGATGTAATGCCCATAGATCCACCACCTCCAAATATACAGGAGGACATGTCGCTCAATAGTCCTATTGATGCTGCTTCCCCTACATCACATAGTATGGATTCTCATACATCATCTACTGCTGACTCTATTATGCACTCACCAGCAACATTACCTCAACATGAAGGCAATTTTGAACCTCGCAGAAGCTCTAGAACTTCTAGACCTCCTATTTGGATGCAGGACTATGTAGGTCACCAAAAGAATGTCTACCCCATTTCCAACTCTGTCAGCTATCTCTATTTGAAACCTCACTATTCAAAATGTTTGGCTTCTTACTCTTCTGAGACAGAACCAAAGACTTTTGCTGAAGCTGCTAAGGACCCTAAGTGGGTTGATGCCATGCAACAAGAAATTCAAGCCATGGAAGATAATCAAACTTGGAGCTTGGTACCATTACCATCTGGGAAGAAACCTATAGGGTGCAAGTGGGTGTTCAAAATTAAGTATCATGCTTCAGGAGAGATCGAGAGATACAAAGCTCGACTTGTAGCAAAGGGCTACACACAGAAGGAGGGCCTTGACTACACTGACACTTTCTCACCTGTTACTAAAATGGTGACAGTCAGATCAGTTGTGGCACTAGCTGCTTCCTCTGGTTGGCCCCTCTATCAGATGGATGTTCATAATGCCTTCTTGCAAGGCGACTTAGTTGAAGAAGTTTATATGCTTGTCCCTCCTGGTTTCTCTAAGGGGATTGCCAAGCAGGGGGAGTACCTTGTATGCAGGTTGCATAAGTCCTTATATGGGCTTAAACAGGCATCCCGACAATGGAATACCAAGCTATCTGAGGCACTACAGACCATGGGTTTCTCTCAAAGCCACTATGATCACTCCCTATTTACTAAGAAAACTGACACATCTCTTATTCTAGTGCTCATTTATGTGGATGATTTGATAGTCACTGGGAACAACATTACAGAAATTAACAGGACAAGGGCCAAGCTGCAGCAGTGTTTTAGAATGAAGGATCTTGGAGAATTGAAATTTTTCCTTGGGATTGAGTTTGCTCGATCTGAAAAGGGCATATACATGAGCCAACGTAAATATGCATTAGAGCTAATTTCAGAACTTGGATTAGCTGGAACCAAACCTTCTAGCACACCATTACAAGTAAACCAAAAATTGACCTCTGTTGATTTTGACAGGTTAGCTTCTTCTTCTGATGACAGTGCTCAAGATCCTCTCTTGAAGGATGTTGGTGAATATCAAAGATTAGTGGGAAGATTATTGTACTTAACAATGACTAGGCTGGATATATCATTTGCTGTACAAACATTAAGTCAGTACATGCATTCTCCCAAACAGTCTCATTTAGATGCAGCAAAGAGAGTTGTCAAATATGTTAAAAATGCACCAGGGCAGGGATTGTTGTTACTATCATCAGGTGATGGGACACTGAAGGCATACTGTGATGCTGATTGGGGGAGCATGCCTCCAAACTAGAAGATCAATCACCGGTTACTGCGTATACTTGGGCAATGCTTTGATTTCCTGGAAATCAAAGAAGCAGTACACAGTGGCAAGAAGTTCAGCTGAAGCTGAGTTTAGGAGCATGGCTTCCACTGCAGCAGAAATTGTATGGCTCATTGGTCTGCTTGGTGAATTTGATGTAAAGTTACAACTGCCTGTGGCTCTATTATGTGATAGCAAGGCAGCAATCCAAATCGCAGCAAATCCTATCTTTCATGAACGTACGAAGCATATTGATATTGATTGCCATTTTATTAGAGAGAAGATAAAGGCTGGTATCATCAAGACTATACATGTGAATACTAAGGAGCAAATAGCAGACATGTTGACTAAGGGGCTGGGAAGAACACAACACCAGCATTTGCTTTGCAAGCTTGGAGTGAAGAATATTTTTCTACCCTCCAGCTTGAGGGGGAGTATTGAGCTAGGATAGTATTTGTATATGTAGAAAGTTTAGGGGATAAAGTGTACAAATTAGAAGTTAGTACCTAACTTAACTAATGGGATGTTAGTTAGTGTCTGTGTATAAGTAGTTTGCTGAGGTTTCTTTGTAAGCTAATTCACTCTTCTCCAATCGTGAATAACAATGGAGATTTTGCAGACTGCCTTCTCTCTCAATCTCTCATGCATGTCTGCCTTCCTTGAAATCTGACAGATACAATCGTATTACTAGCAACTAATAAATTATGACAACATGCTAGCTAGATTAACAATTCAATCGTGGACTTTTCTCATTTTTCCAATTCAAAGTCTAAATTTTGCTGCGAAATGTACCAATTGACTAACATTTGATTGTTTGTTAAGGCATTTCTATTTTTAACCCACTTTCTTGAATGAGTTTATGTTATATATGCATCATTGCAAGGACTTTATACATCATCAGATTACCTCTACATGTTGTTGCAGGAAATGATCTATTTTATTCTAAAGATTATAATTTTTACGTTTTAAGAAGGTTTACCTATGAATATTCTTTACTTTTGGTGACCTAGAGTCAGGGGCGGATGTAGCTACCCGAGTAACGTTAGTATGGAGCTTAGATATATATGTAAAAATTATAATTTTTTTAATAAATACTAAGTTTTGAACCCATAATGTTAATTGTGTAATGAGTCAATAGTAAAAAAAAATAAACATTGAACCCATTAAACTAAAATTCTGGATCAGCCCGGCATATATAGTGTAAATTTCTTTTATACTAACAATGTACATAACTTAAACTCTGAATGAATACGTAAATTCACCATGCGGGGAGTTCTGAAATTGACTGTTGACCTATGTTGCGCGAACTCTTCAAAATGTTGCCGCACCCGTGTCGGATACTCAAAAAATACACTACTTTTGAAGTATCCGACACGCCCGGCGACATTTTCGGAGAGTCCGAGCAACATAGTTGACCGTTGATTAGAGGTAGAACAGATCACGACATTCTTGATTAATGTTACTTCTTGATCAACTTGAACCTGCTTGCATTTTAATATGAGAAATTACCTTGACTTTCCTTTTTAACAAATGGAAGCAAGAATATTAAAAATGACTAAGACGGAAAAAGGATGTTTAACATTGACCAGATTGTGCTATAAGTACGTAGTTATAATAAGCCAAAAGCAAACAAACTTGTTCAAAATTTAATGAAACTAGACTTGCTATAACAATGAGCATGAGCTGGTTAATAACAATTTTAGCCATTGCTGCTTTCTTTTCTTCCCAATTAGCTTATGCCTATGATCTCAATCCTCTACAAGACATATGTGTTGGAGTTAAAGACACTAACGCTTCTGGTAAATCATATCCTTCTATTGTCACGAAAGTTTTTTTTAACTAATTTCTTCTTTTTTCTATTTTAAACAATATTGTATGTTATATTATAGTGTTGATAAAAGCCATATATCGCTTCGTCGCTTCATAGGTGAAGCCATGCACTATATATACTATAATTATAGTCATCTTTTAGCTCTAAACATATCAATAATATTTCAGTTAACTTGTGCAGTATTCGTGAATGGAAAGATTTGCAAAGACCCAAAACTAGCCACAACAGATGATTTTGTTTACCCTCGAATCCGGATAACAATTGAATTTATATGGGGTTTTAAGGATCCGTGAACTAAAAGATACAAAAGGTTTTTAGGTTAAGGAAAATAAAGATAAAGACTCAACAATTGCTGTTAAAGTAAATAATCGCAGAATATAATATTGCTCAGAACAATTGTGCTTGATGATTCCCCAGAATTTAGAGATATCCCCTTTTATACATTCTGATTAAGGGTAAAAATAAGGTAGGTAAATTGATTACATCGTGGATCCCTGTAATTACGCCTTAATGGCCTGAAGTGGTTGAGAAAATCACGTTTGGGCGAGATATCCGGCGACGCTTGGTTATCCGTTACGAGTCCGGCTTCCGACCTTGTGTGTTTCTCCATCCGGTGGTGACTCCTATCGAGCTCTGTAACGGTCTCGAAATGACTCGACCTCGGTTGTAGACGTGGCCGTCGTTCTACCTTGCATCCAGGTCGGGTTCGATGGCCCCGATTTGCTCCGGACCGGACCCAACCCGGTCGGGCTCAAGCAAAAAAGGGTATCACCTAATACAGATTTCTTTGCTTCAGGACTTAATGTAAGAGGAAATATAGTTCGAGCTAAGTTTGGTTATTCTATAACTGTTGTGGATGTAAACACAATGCCTGGACTCAACACACTTGGTATTTCTTTCATTCGAGCTGACCTTGAGCCACGTGGCCTTATTCCACTACACACACACCAACGAGCTACTGAGCTCATAACTATATTGGAAGGAACTATTTATGCTGGATTTCTTCTACCTGATTCTCCAAATATCTTTAAGAGTCATCTCTTCTCGAAAATTTTGAATCCTGGCGATGTTTTTGTGATACCACAGGGTCTTATTCACTTCCTGTATAACGTGGGGAAAAAAAATGCAACCGTACTCGCTTCTTACAATAGTCAAAATCCTGGATTCGTCATGATTCCTAATTCCATCTTTGCTTCGGATCCACCTATTCTCGACGATGTTCTTGCCAAAGGTTTCCAGCTTGATAAGAAAGCGATTAAACAACTCCGGAAGAAATTCTCTGATTAGGATAGTATATGTTATTAGAAATAATATTATTGTGTTTTAATAAAGTTTTGTGCAGCTGCTCAACAGCGATTTGTAATAAGTGTTGTAACACTTTCTCTAAGTTTAACACTGTTTGTTGTATTTAATATCCATCCGTTTAATGTAAGCTTAAAATATTTGAAGAATCTGTGTAGATCCGTAACCAGTAGATATATTCTTGCAAATGTAATAAAAATAAGTACTACTTCTATCCTATGTTTTTTAATTGCTTCAGTAATTAGTACTACTTCCTTTATCTGATAATGGATAAAAGATTTCTGTGGCAGTTACAACTGGAAGTATACATTTTGAGAACCCCAAACAGAGTCTGACAATTTATATCTTTCTATTTGTTGTTGTGTAATCATCTAGTCCATATCTGATATCGAGTGGCGGAGTCAGAATTTCCGTTAAAGGGTAACATACCACGAAATTAAGGGGAGTCAACACCTAGTATAAATACATATAATTTTTTTTTTTACCTACTTACACAGTGTATTTTTCCCGCAAAGGGGTATCATTTGACACCCCTTCCTATAATGTGGCTCCGCCACTGCCTATACCCACTTATCCAATTAATGTAGATTCGCGCTGCTGCTTAAGACTCATTAAAGGGAAAATGCTTTCTACCAAGAATTTTCCAATTTTCATTACTTGAATCCAAAACCTTTGATTAAGGATCGAAAGATCCTATTCAACCCAATACATGAGGTTGAAGCATGCATAAACTCAGAAATTACACCAGGCTTCAACTTAGTACTGCCTCTGTAATCCTTCCAGTTAAAGATAACCAATGATTTTCTTTTTTTTTTATGGAGAAATAAAAGAGTTTATTGCCAAATGAAGTTTTCGCAAAATATGTTACCATTACAAAGGTAAACTTTATATTGCAACTGAATCGCATATTGTATAGTAGTACTAATTAAGGGTTAAAAACAAAAAATTAAACTTTTAAAAAAGAAATTTTTTTGGAGCTAACTGTCCTCAAATAAACTACATTTTTTAGCATTTCAAATACTACATAATAATTTTATAGGAAACAAAAGAAAGGAGGACCACGTACGGAAGGAAAGATATTGATAATTACATAGGACTAGGATATAATAATGGATCCAATATAAAGGAAATACCAAGCGTGTAAAAATGACTTCTATCTAATATACACCATGTGGTTATATTGTCACATCGACATTTGGTACTTTAATTTCTGACATGGCTAATTTTTGTACGAAACCTATATCATTCTTTTTTCTATTTGGTTAAACATGATATTTGAAGCATTATGACAACACATGTTAAGAAGTCACGTGGAAAGAATAAAAGCAATAATTTTCAAATTTCATAAATAAGAGATGTTCAATTGAAATTAGGAATTAAAGAATTTAATTGTTTAGCGACATATGAGCTTGAAAACTTGGAATTATTATAATAATTGTGTAAATTAATGTCCCGGAAAACTTTTGCTAAGTATTATGTTCTCGCGCTATAAGTTGGACACAAAGATGTGTGAAAAGTTATGAAGGCATAAAATACATAAATCTTATGTTTAAAAGGTTGAATGGATGGTTATAAGAGGAGAGGAGTAAAGTGGAATCCATTGGAGTTGTTTAAGAGATGAAAATGACCTTAGCCGCATATGACTTAAGTTTCAATGGGCATATCTATCAATATATAATGAATTGAGATTTGAGCTATATATCAAAAAAAAGCTCTTGAAGTCTAATTTCTAACATTTCAGACCATTCTTCATTTCGATGTTCCTATAAAAACTAATAGGCGTTTTACCGAAGCCTATCATGTTAGAAAAATGGACCGCGTTCTGGGCGCCCAATGGTGCGTCAGGCGCAAATCAGAACTCCAAAATCAGAAATAATTTATTTGAGGCGCTTTGGGTGGTGCTGGGTGTGGACCGTGACGCAGAAGGCATGAAATATAAATAAAAGGGACGGGGAGAGAGAGAGAAAATACCCTCATTCTTTAAAGATTAAACCTCCCCTCTCGTCCTCAAGTCATCCAATGGTTCTTGATAGGTTATATGTGTATCCATGTTATGTTTTGATGATCTAACAAACTTACTGTTAAGAATCAGATAAGGAACCTAATACAGATCCTCAAGAACTTAAAGATCAATAAGTCTCCAATTGGAGACACAGTTCAACTCTTCAGAGTAAAATGAACCACTAAGGGAATAGATAGCTACCAGTTCCCAAGGAAACTGCACAAGTCAACAGTCCCACCTGTAAAGTTGTTGCCTGCACGCGCTACAGTACAGAAACAGTGCAACAGTCAACTTTATGGGGAATGCCTTTTACCTAACTTGCTTACATCATTCTAAGTGATGTCACAAATGTATTATTAACATCAAGGAAGGTAAAACAAATTCACTTGAACACTTAGAGAATTCGCTCAAGCATACTCACTGTTATTGATCATCGAGCAAATGATTCTCAAGTGCATCAAGAACAAAGAACAACACTGTTACAGACCAGTTCTCCATATCAAGTTATTGTATGTCCTTAGTGGAGTTATAACTTTGTAAAAGCTCTTACTTGTAATTCCTACTTAGCTTACTTAGAAGCATTCTGTAGGAAACCCTTTGTAAATCATAGACCCTTGTGTTTGTGTCTTGGCTAGAGTTAGTCGAGTTGTAAAGTCTTTGTAATAGAGTTATTACAAAGTGGCTTGTAATAGAGTGTGACAAGTTAGTGAGGGATTAAGAGGTTAATTCCTAGGTTACATAAGTTATCTAAAGTTGCTCAGTAGTGAAGTTGAAATCCTACAAGGGTAGGTCGTGGTTTTTTGTCACGCCCCGAACCTGGTCCTGGACGTAACACGGCACTCGGTGCCTGACTACATGTGACCGAGCAAACCAACTGGCTGGCTGAATAAACATGTGATATAATAACATAATGAATGCGGAAGATAAACTAACACATGCTGATATAATGAAAGTCTAAATGATATAAATCAAAGTGCGGAAATACTAATATAATTCTGGAATATATTTGTAGCCCACATGGCTTAATATGAAAAGCATGCGACTCTGTCTAGCTGTTACTCTAGTCTATGAAGCCTCTAATGAAATACTGAAAACACTAACTGTTTGAAAATACTGAAGACTGTAAGATAATGATAATGCCCCGAAAGAACTGGGGATCACCAAATAGCTGGTACGAGAATCCTAACGCTCTGAATCGTCAACTTGTAAATCATTACCTGCATCGTGAGATGCAGGCCCCGGGCAAAAGGGACGTCAGTACATTTGAATTGCACTGTATATAAAGCAACTGAAAGAAAGAATTATAAATGCTGAAACTGAAACTAAGCTGATACTTGAGAATTGATAATTGGTACTGAAATGATAACTATTGAAACAGAAACTGAAACGATAGCCGATAACTAATAACTAAAATGATAACTGATAGCTGATAACTGAAATGATAATTCATAATTGAAATGATAACTGATAACTGAACTAATAACTGATAAATGAAATGATATCTGATAACTGAACTGAACAAAGGAAGTAAAGATATGAATACTCCCTCTTCTGAATGATGAACAACCTGTTTATCTGAATAAGCTACGGCCTCGGGCCCAATATATATGTGCACAAGCTACGGCCTCAGGCCCAAGTATACGTATACATAACTACGGCCTCATGCCCAAAAATACATAAAGAATAAACTACAGCCTTAGGCCCAAGTATGCATAAAGCATATAAACTACGGCCTCAGGCCCAAACATGCATAAAGCATAAACTACGCCCTCAGGCCCAAATACAGGCGGTCAACATTCAGGAACTGAGAATCAAACTGCAATACATGATAGTGAAATACTGAATCATACTGAGTTACATGATACTGGAATACTGGATCACACTGAGTTACATACTACCGGAATACTGAATAGGACTAGACTGAGACATGTATTCTTGAACTGATTATGAACACTGAAACTTCAACTGTTTATGGAATACTAAGTAATCTATACTAAGACTTGGGGGCATCAAACCCAAGTCTATATTGAATACGCACTGAGCTCACAACGTTCAGAATGAAAGTGGTGAACGAGTTATGAAGCTAGAGAATAGAAGTTCTACAACTATTCAAGGAACTAGGCTAAACTATATTTCTGAGGCAATTAGTGACGTCGTAAAAGAAACGTAGTGTAGGGAGAATCATTAAAATTCCCAAACATAGAGAGTTAGCCTCACATACCTTAAACTCCTGCTCTTGAGCGTAATACAACATTCGCCAACCCTTTCAACTTTAATCTATATCAATACAAGTCAAAGGGATTCCATATTTGCAATAATTCTCATGTTTTGATCACTTAAGCATTTTATCAAACACTCGGTGAGAATAAAGCTTTATAGTCCTTATTAATGGTGTCTTTACACCCAACAACCCATTCTCTTGTTCCTAGTTAAATTCTAAACTCTCGAACGATTATAATCAACATTATTCTTCATCACCCATAAGGTAAACAACACCCTTAACCAATAATCAACAATCAACACCCCAACCCTATAATTGTTCATGTTTTTTTATCAAACCCATCAACTCATATCTCATGAACTAGGATTTATAATCATTAAACCAGTGCTAGAATCAATTAGAGGGTGAAGACATTACCTTTTTGAAGTTCAAACCCTTTGAATTCGAATTCTAGGCTTCCTTCTCTCAACAATGATGTCCCAATCGAATATCTAATGATAGGAGGGTTTACCCATGTTAATAAGATGTTGGGAAATTGAAATTAACTTAGAATCACCATTATAACTTACCTTGGATGGTGGAGGGACCCTTAAGGAGTTAGGTTTTTGAGAGTTTTACTTTCTAGAGCAAGTTTTTATGTTTTGGGGTTGTGGGGGACGAAATAGGGCTAAAATAATGACTTCCCAAGTTGACCACCGCGTCCCAGTAGACCTGACCGAGGTAAATCGCTGGAGCACTGCCTCACGACCGTGGTCGCGGTCA